AAACAATTAACTGTCACAAAAGCTGAGGCTAACTATCTTCATTTCCATTTGCCCATTCAGATCATTTGCACAATATCGCAGTTAAGAATATGTAATAAATATTTCATCAAATTCACATATAATGGAAGCTCATATAAAATAAATCCCAATGAGATATGTTCAATTTGTAATTTGAATTCTGCAGAAACGTTACAGCATATTTTGTTCGATTGTCCGATTTACAATAGTTTCAGAATACCAAACAGTGATCATCTCCCGAATAGCCACTCGTTGATTGACTTCATCGACAATCTTACTCCACTTAAATGCAAAAATATCGCCAACTATATATGGAATATTCTAAAAACCAGAGCATTTTCAAGAAACGAGTAGCACTTCGTGATATCATCAACTTTGCCTCATTTCCCTATTCTTTCTTCCTGTTCGTTTTTTTGTTATTAATCAAAACTGTTTATATTTGCACATATGTATAGTGACAATTATTACAATTTGCATTGTACACATTTCCATGTAAAGTGTTTATCAGAAATAACCGAATCCTTGCTATAGGACTGTAATGTCTTTGAAAGCAATAAAGAATCTATCTATCTATCTAATACTATAGAAACCTTCTCAATTACTTAATAAAAAAAAACGAAAAATCAATACTACTTCATTAAAATTACAGAAGAACAAAATTATCATAAGAAGATCTGGCAAAGTGTTCATGAAATTACAAATAACAAAAAATTTAACAAGGCTAAAATCACAGATATAATAAATATAGCATTAAGCAAGTATTCAAATCGAATATAGGGGAAGCCAACCACTTCAATGAATTTTACACGAATGTAGGTACATGATTGGATAACCCTATAAAAAAATCACCGCTACCAGTTTCAGAAAAAAATCCATATAAAAGAATCCATATTCTTCCACCCTGTAACTGAAAACGAGATCGTGATAATTATTTGAAAACTCGAATATAATATTGTGCCAGGCCCAGATGAAATCTCCGTATATCTGCTAAGAAACACCACCAATACCTCTTCTTCTTCTTCTTCTTCTTCGAAGCACTGGTGGGCGGGTGAACCCCCTGCACGTGGGCCTCCTTATTCTAGCCCATTGTGCGCCCACATGTTACGACATTCAGCTGGGTATGCCGACTGCCTTGGAGAAGTTCAGCAGCTTCCTCAGCTGAATCTCTTTTACGTCCTCTGGCCTCAAAATTATGTTGCCAAGGACAGTCCTCCTCTGATGCGTCAGAGCTGGACACTTAGTGAGGACATGTGATGACGTTTCGTCATCTTCCAGGCACCATCTGCAAAGGGGGTCATCCTTGATCCCAATAAGCTCTAGGTGCCTATTGAGGTGGTTGTGCTCCGTTTGGAGCCCCTCTACCATTTTAAGGTTTCGCTTGTTTCGGAATAAAACCTCTTCTGCGAGCCTCTTCGAAGGTTCCTTTATGTGGAGCTTCGATTGTCTCATTCCTGGTGTGTCCTGCCATATTTTGAGGAATTGCTTTTGCAGCTGTTTTTGCCAGGTTTTCCAAGGCTTTTCTGCACTCGGACACCAAATTGGATGTGATCCTATTGGATTGCAAAGCCAGTATTGCAGCTTTGCTGTTCGAGCATATAGTGATTGGTCTATGACCTCTTATAATTAGGTTTTCTTGGACACAGGTGAGTATTGCAAGTACTTCTGCCTGGAACACTGAGGCATATTCGCCCAACGGAACTGAAATTTCTTTCCCTGTTCCTTCATTGTATACCCCTGCACCTGAACCGCCCCCAAATTTTGAGCCATCCGTGTACCAGATTGACTCATTAGGAGGAGGCACGCCAGGTGTTGTGTCATTCCATACTTCCCTCGTAGGGATGACAGTGTTTGGGGCTTTGTTAAAGTTTAGAATTGGCAAGGTATCATCATGAGGATGGGACAGTTTTCCCTTGCCTTATTCCATATGAGGGAGCCTTGATCTGCTTCTGTTCCGACCCACTGGTTTGCACCGTTGAGTCGGTAAGCAGTTCTCATGGCTTCGTGTTGTATAAACAGGTGTAGAGGCGGCAGACCTAACAGAACTTCAAGAGCCCTGGTAGGCGTCGTTCTCAGAGCACCTGTTATTCCCAGGCAGGCCAGTCGCTGGACTTTATCCAGTTCTCTGTTGGTCTTGCCCTCATTGTTACTGGTCCACCATACAATGGACCCGTACGTAAGTGTTGGGCGTATTACTGCCGTGTATATCCAGTGAAGGGTCTTTGGTGTGAGACCCCATGTTTTTCCAAAGGCTCGTCTACATGTCCAGAAGCAGCATACAGCCTTCTTGGCTTTTATATTGGAGACACTTTCCCGAGAGAACTATCTCAGGAAGTGTTCCTATTTTGCGTTTCTTAGTGAATAATACCAAGTTCGCCTTTTCTGGATTGACTCTCAATCCACTGGTGGAACACCACTGTTCCACTTTATTGAGGGCTTCCATGATTGGATTTCCCAGCCGGTTCGCCGATTGATTTTGGGCCATTATTACCAAGTCATCTGCATATGCTTGCGCATATAGCCCTGGCTTATTCAAATCTATGAGGAGCTCGTCTACTACCAGGCACCATAGTAGTGGTGATAAAACCTCTTCTTGGGGACATCCTCTTGATACCTTGGCAGCAACCGACCTCCCATATAGTTCTGCTTTTACCACTCGTTGCGATAGCATGGCTCTTATCCACCTGGTCAAGGTTTGATGGACCCCATGTCTATCCGCGGCATGGCATATCGATTCAAATGACGTATTGTCAAATGCTCCTTCTATGTCTAGAAAGACTCCCATGGCTGAGCGTCCACCAGCTAGCACTCCATCTATCTTATGGACAAGATGATGCAGAGCCGCATCTATGGACTTCCCAGTCTGATAGGCATATTGTTGTGCGTGCAGCGGGTTTATTCACAGTGGCACATCTCTGATTTATCGATCTATCAGCCTCTCCAATACCTCATTGATCCTCTATTCAAGGAGTCCTATACTACATCAATATCCAAATCAGGGGACAAGACCAGCAACCAACTACATGCCAATAAAACTAATGAATAATATATCTAAGATATTCGAGAAATGTATCAAAAGCAGAGTAGTGTGTTACTGTGAAACCAATCATATTCTGATTTCCAGTTTGGCTTCAGAGAAAATTTATCTACTGAACGAGCACTTTATGAAATGGTTAATGCAGTCTTCACCAATTTCTAGAATAACAAGAAATGCTTGGCAGTATTTTTGGATTAAGCCAAGACCTACGGTAAGGTCAATTATGATATTCTTGTTCAAGACTTATATGATAATGGTATAAGACATGTTGCACTAGACTTCTCTAGTAAGGTGATCGATCAGCTCAAGAACAGTTTTTTCGGTGATAATTGTAGGACAAGTGTCGATAGTGAGATTGAAATGGATCAGTTTATTGAGGAGGCTCAGAAACTCATTAGTAAAGTTGGTTTTGATCTTAGGGGCTGGGTATATGAAAGTCTTCAGGGGCCTAGCGGAGAAAATGAGGTTTCCAATGTCTTTATCGACGAGAGGATAGTATTCGCTCGGATGATTCACAGAATTTGGAATTGAGTTACAAAAAGAACATTATTTTTTGTTTCTCATTGGATTTTCGACCCTATAGGATTCATTGGTCCCATCAATTTATGACCGAAGATATTGATGTAATAAACATGGAAATCCTATGTATTAGAGTTTTCCTATTGGTTGAACTCATAGACATTTTGAGCTTGGATAAATCGGACGATTAATGGGCTGTTGTTGGGTCGATTGGAGCTCACTACAAGGGAAAAGCGGAGATTCATTCCAGGTATTATGAATCCAGCTGATCTACCATCTAGACTCTAGAGGGTGTTCCGCGAAGAAGATATCAGAATCTAGATAGTGGGAGGGTCCTGATTGGCAGAGTTTATCTAGACTATGGCCTGGTAACGTCACCTGCTATGATAATGAGGAAATTGCTAGGTAGAAAAAAAAACTGCAACCTCTTGTGTGAACCATTCTAGTACTGTTGAAATCGATTACTATTCTTCAAGATATAGTAGAGTTATCCGAATGTTGAGTAGGTGTCGACGTTTCATTTATAATTGTAGGAATACTATTGTCTTCGATAAATTAATTTACTCTTAACAACTGTTTTATTATAACTTATTTGACATAATTGAAACTGAAAATTTGGGATACCTGTTATATTGATTTTTGTTCAAGACTGTTTTACTGCCTTGAGCAAAACGATAGTCATTTTTTACACCAATGAATAATAGCGGTGAATATCCAATATTCAGTAGTCTAGAGTTCCTAGGGTACGCGATGGTGGGAGCGGTTGATTCGTTTGTTGAAGAACTTTTCACGTCGAGTTATGGCAGAGCATGTCTGGAAAGGAATATTCTCAGATATATTAATGAACACGAGAAATGGATATAATATATCCGGAAATACATTGAGAATTCGCATTCTCCATGAGATGAAAATATTAATTCTTTCTCGGTTTATTCAGCAGAAAACTACTTTCCTGGCTATATGCCACGACGAACAGGAACAGGATGTAGGATACTTCAGAAGGACATTATCGCAATGTTATTTCAACATTATCATATAACTCATTATGTGGAAAATATTTTTGTTGTGCATCATGTTAAGTGGGTACTGTATGATAATATGATACGAGGAGATGCACTTTGACCGTCGGTTGATCGATTATGTTTTTGTCAATTCGTCTCTCTGTATCTGGTCACTTTCAAGGAGTTTAATATTATCAGACCATTGGTGCTTGTGAACCACCGCCTCAGGGTCTACACCAACCAATGAAAAACAAAATTGACCACTACCATACTATCCACTTTATTCTTAACTGGAATGTACCGAGCGTTATCTATTTAGCGAACGAAGTCTTGTCAACAGTCGAGTCGTCAATCTTGAAAGTTGTGAGTAGTAGTTTGGTGGTTAGGTAGGTAATACTCAGGATAAAAAATCGAAGAATCCAACGAAGATGGGGCCAACTCTTTACATGCTCCCCCCTAGTCCTCCTGTCAGATCTGTTCTAATGTGTGCTAAAGCCATCGGGGTGGACCTGAATTCCATAAAGGTCGATTTGTTAGCAGGAGATCATCTCAAGCCGGAATTTCTCAAGGTAATATATAGAAGTTTGAAAAACTAATAAAACATACTTTTTTATACTAATGTGCGGAGAAGAGGAATTTGGGTTTTTTCCTCGGTTTTTTCCGAACGCAATGGGCAAAAAATACTCATCAAATAACACTAATCTGAATATATCAGGTGATGAAATTACTTCGGAAGATTCAAGCTCTCTTGTCATATAAGTCAAACAATTAAGTGATTCAAATAAAGTAATACATTATTTATTACGAATCTAGTAAGGTGTCGCTTTCCGTAGATCGAAGGATAAACAATATTTTTCCTAGTGATGCTATCTTTGTTAAATCCGAAGATATAGGTACCTATCGCAATGAATAATTTATTTTTCTACAAACGTCAAAAAATGGCAAGGTTCGCGCATTGATAACAAATTGCGAAGTGACACATACGTTACCATGATACCTTGCACAAAACAATGCGCGAAGTAAAGCAGTGCGCGAAGTACCTACTTGGCGCATTGTTAAATATGTAAAATATATGAGATATTTATATTTCAACTTTATGATGGTCCTCAATCGAGCAAACATCCACGAAATAATTCATTTCTGAATGTTCAACAATAACTTTGTTGTATCTCCTTGAGCGCACGAAACGAAGTTATGCTCGTGGAACATTGTGCGTATACCTAGGGAGGTTAGGGAGAGGCCTGTTAAGCTAGTTCAACACTATTTTTTATATCAAGCTGAGCATATTTTCGCTTTGGAACTATATTTTTTGACGTTTGTAGAAAAAAATCTTTTTGCAACTCGAGCGCGAAATACTTTGGTCATCTCGACTATTTTTTCAACTCGGCCACGCCCCGTCGAAAAAATCAGATCTCGATCACCAAAGTAGCATTTCGCGCTCAAGATACAAAAATAACTATTTCATCTCTGTTGATAGGCTACGAAATGTCACTTTCTATAAATTACTTCTTTCCCTCTGCGAAAAGGTGAGTACTTCTTTCCCGTTTATATAAGGTGTTTTTGAAATAAGTACATATAATCAGCACATCGATATAATACAGTTTACCGAATATTTCCATGATATCAGATTTTTTTCTAATTCTTCTGATTAACAAGAAATTTTATCCCAAAAATTGAACAGAAATCGAGAAAACAATATTCAAATGATTGAAATCCGCGTGATTGTGCCTTCCGCACGAAAATGTGAACAGATGTGACGTCAGAATGGCTACAGTGTGGAACTTTCGGTGGAGAAAGGGGTGAAACCCTAAATTTTATTGTGATCCCTATATATTTTTACTGGTATCACTCGATAGTATACGTCGAGCTTCTCATGGCATGAAATATTCGCACTTATTTCAATGCCACCCTGTACACTGTTGATGGCTTTTGTTGTGCTAGTTCCGAAAAATAACCCAGCAGACATTTTGATGTGGGGCATTAATGGCCTAATATATTTTTCCTCCTACCCCTATAGAAAGTACACACTTTCCTCCCTCAAATCAGGGAGGAAAGTCATACTTTTCCTCCCTAGGGAGGAAAAGTACTTTTCCTCCCTCTCATTTCAAGTAAGTTGTAAACGATGAAACTTGTGAATTCTATATTCATATTGTTTCCATAATTTCTAGAACATCCTGTATATCCTGTTTTTTGGTAAAAATCAAACATTTATGTTACTTCAACGTAGTTCTTCAATACAAATTTCAACTTCAGGAATCTTAGATATACGTTTTTTGAGTTCAGAATGGGAAAAGCATAGTATGCTGTGGCTCACTGACAGTAAACACGGCGATTGACTTTTAAGGTGCAAAGTCGCTACATTCATTAAACTTAGTTGAATTTTTGAAAAATGGAGAGCGATTCAAGTGATTTTGAATTTCCAAATACACCACCTAATATTAAGCAACAAGCCAACATAGCGTCATTAACCTTACTACCACAAAAATCTAAAGTCAGGTATGAAAAACAATATGCGCAATATAAGCAATGGACTGAAGACAACAAGATACATAAATATTCAGAGAATGTTTTACTGGCATATTTTTCACAACAAGGAAAATTATTAAAAGCTTCAACACTTTGGTCTAAATATTCAATGCTACACACAATGATACAAATGAAGGACAATGTCGATATTGAATATCCAAAGTTTATTGCATTTCTAAAACGTCAAAATGCCGGATACAAACCAAATAAAGCTAAAACTTTTACAAGAGAAGAAATAGCCCCCGATGATTTTTTTTATTAATGAAGGTAAGAAATGAAATCCCATGCAAATAATTAAATTTTTGATATAAAATATTCATAGGTAGTCCTTGTTATTGGAATTTCTGGAGCATGTCGATGTGATGAGCTTATCAAAATGACAATGGATGACATTGAAGACAAAGACAATCTTTTAGTCATAAATATCCCCACTTCAAAAACGTATAAACAACGAACTTTCGTTATCAATACTTCAACAGGTAACGGCCCAAATTTTGTTCAAATCGTTAAAAAGTATATCTGTCTACGTCCTAAAACTGAGCATAAACGATTGTTGGTATGCTTTAAAGCAGGCAAATGTATAAATCAAGTGGTTGGCAAGAATAGTATATCCAAAATACCACAAAAAAATTGCACAATATCTCAATCTTCCAAATGCCGAACATTACACAGGGCACAGTTTCCAGCAACTCTGTTAGTAAACGCTGGTGGGGATATTTTAGCTCTAAAACAGCATGGCGGTTGGAAATCAACCAATATCGCAGAAGGTTATGTAGAACAATCTCACACAAAAAAAAGAAAAATTTCTGACCCAATTATGGGAAATAATGTAGAACCTGAACTTGATCAAAATCAGCAAAGCACTTCTAGAAGTTACCACCATTACAATGTGCTAAGCGAAAATATTTCAAATACTAAAGCTCCTGTTCAAACCCTATCTTCTTCCAATGGTGTTCATATAAGTGCTGCTCAAAACTGCACATTCAATATTAACATAACTAATTCTGAAATATAGTTAAACAATACTATGTACTCAATTGTATAGCATATATTGATGAATTTGTTTGATAAATAATTCTTGTGTATTTGTGTCGTAAAAATTTTTTCAAAAAAAGGTGGGTAGGAGGAAAAATCATATGTATCACATGGGAGTGAAGTGCCTTTTCCTCCCTTGGATGTTTACTGCCCTCAGCTTCGCGTCGGGCAGTAAACTACATCCTGCGGGAGGAAAAGTGGCACTTTCCTCCCTAGTAATACAAATAGCTATTTCCCATACCCGACATCAGCGGTCCAGGAAATGGTCCCATATGCGGGACACTGCGGCCGGCAGCTGGTCCCAGTGCTGGGTACCCGCAATCATACAATCATATTCAACATAAACGACACATTGAGTTTCCCATAGCAAGCCCAGTATATACAAAAATGATGGGACTATAATGGCCAATTAACGACATTGGTTACATATACTATCGAGGTAGGGGAGGGGTAGAGGTTTTAGGGGTCCAATGGATCTGAAAGTTCTAGTACCCCTTTATTTTACAGCATCATGAATCAGACACATATCAGGTTCCAAGAGAACAATTTTACAATTTACAATTGATATCTTCTTATAACCTCTGTTCTTCAACGATGAAACTTCTCGGAGTGACTGCGCACTGGTTGGTATGTGGTATCTACATCTTATTGGGTAGTATTCTTTCGAAGTTGTTTCTTCGTTGTGAGGTACTTCTTGAAATAATGAATGCATCATAAGTTATATATTAGAGTTTATAACTTGATAATATAGGCTGATGACGTGATAACATGGAGCTTTTCTATTCTCATCATTTGCTTGGCACAGGTATTTCTGTAGCTGAAACCATATTGTTATTCAGTTCATCAATATATAGACAGGTTCACATAACCTAAGATTGTTTTTGATAGCAACAAAAGAGTTGAAAATGATAGTTGCTTTTGAAGAAGTATAGCCAACTCGAATTATCATGATCATTAGGTATATAAGGTTACGAGATAACAAACACATGCATTTAATAATGAAATACGAAACACTATGTAGGTAGATTGATACTCACTCAAAATTATCATAATAGAAGAATCCGTCTTCTATTATTATCAATTGAGAATACTCCTGCCATCATAAATAACCATCAATTCGACATAAACAAACTAGTACGCGATCACCACTCACGAGAGTCAGCCATCTCAGTCACATATAATATTGATCAGCTGACTGTTGATGCAGAAGTTCCCAGAACATCCACCAGGGGGACGAGAAGCGAACATAAGATTGGCCAGCAATGAGCCAGATCTCAATAGTATTCAATTAGTTCCAGACATCTCACCATCACAAGGCCGTATTTTTAACTGATGGTTACTTGGCATAGGAAAATCATCGGCCCATTACCAATACCCCGGTATCGTCACTTTCCTAGACTAGCCTGCACTAGGCAGGACTTCTCCCGCTAGTTCAATGTTTGCTGGAAAGGCTAAAACACCATCTCCGAGAAAGAACTGCAAGTCCTTTTGATTTTCCATTCTACTTCGCGGTTACTTAAATTACTAAACGACCACTAAGTTCGCAATTATTTTTTATCAAATCACATGATTATGATTCGTCCTTTTAACTGCCAAAAATGCGATCATGAATAATGAAAAACTGAAATTTTCGAATAAAAATGAACTACAAACTTTTCTGGCACTCTGTATAGTACCAAATTATATAATCATCATACCAAGACTATGGTTGGAAATCATGCATTGATATAAAAAACATTTCCTGGCTCACGTGGCAATCAAAGATGTCAAACATGCCAAGGTGATCGTATGATTATAGTATGTATACAATTAGGCAATTAGGGAGTTTACAAAGTGAAAATTATTGCTGAATTATTTTTCCGCCTTGAACTATAAAATGAATGATAGGTTCCAATTGTCACTATCTAATACATGTATATGAATCTAAAGACACGATGATTGAATTGAATATTTGTGATGCCCAGAGAACATCCAGTTGATATTAGATGTTAATGCCCTGAGAATCATA